TTTCAGACCATGTAAGCTTCCATATGATTTCTGGGAACCAAACCCAAGTTCTCTACAGGAATAGCCTTAACCAACGAGCTAGCTCTCCAGCCCCCATATGCGTTTTTAATATATTTGAAACTTATTATGTACCAACTAATAGCTTATAAAGTCTCTGGCAAGTAATGGTGGTATTAAATAAGTTGATAAGAAGCTAAACTGAAGCCAGATGGTGGTGGTGCACACCCTTGGTCCCTGAACTAAGGAGGTAGAGGCAAACAGATCTCTGAGTTTGAGGCCAGGCTTTCTACAGAAGGAGTTCCAAGACAGCCAAGGCTACACATAAAGAAGGAAGGAAGGAGGGGGGAGGGAAAGAGAGGAGAGAGAGAGAGAGAGAGAGAGAGAGAGAGAGAGAGAGAGAGAGAGAGAATATATCCTATGACTTTTAAAATTAAATGTTTGGACAATGCCAGAGTTGAGGAGTAGCATCTCTTCAGCTGAAAATTTAGTGTTTTGATATTCTGAAAAACTATTTCTGAATGATTAAAATACTAAATGGTCATGTATCTGTAATATCTTCTAGCTTTTATTTAATTCCTACTGCTACTCTTATTTTGTTCTAATATTTCTTACTAATTTCAAATCTACAACTTAATACAGAAGTATATAATTATTAGAGCAAAAACAAATGCCTTTTCCTTGTAACAGTGCAGAGGCAAGAGATCCCAAGTTCAAGACCAATCTAGCATACATCGAGGTTCCATCATAAAAAGTAAAAAATTTAAAAATCCCTTTACAAAAAAAATTTAAAAAAAGGTCATCTTTTCTTAACATGTATTACTCTTAGTGAAAATTTAGGTAACAAATTATCATCTTTCTTGGTACCAAACATTATCAGTGTTACCTACTAAGATACTGAATCCACACTGGAGCATAATCTCCATGACTCTCCATTGTTGCATGCATTTATTATTTCCCTGGCAATATTGTTCTAAAGGTTTTAAAGTAATAGAACTACTTACTACCTTGGTAAACAGCTTCTTTCCAAATAGGAAAAAGAAGAGAAATATGACATATACAAAATACACTGTTTGCTATGTAATTGCTAAGACTGACTCCAAGTATAATACTACTAAAGCTGTTAAAAGATTCTACATCCACCCTACATCTCTTGTCTAGTTTTGAGGTGGCAGGTATTTATCTGTCTTGTATTAATGATTATCAAATTATCACTAGTCTCTGGTATTTATACTATTTATAGTAACACAATTAGAGAACATTAGAAAAAGAAACATTAAATACCAGACATAGGTCATCAAAACTATATAATTTTCCTTTCCTACAAATCTACACCAGATAATGACAAAATGACAAGTAATACATTTATTTTTAGAGGTACATAATCTTCAACATAAAAATGTTTCGTTGTAGGGCTGGAGAGGGCTCAGCAGGTAAAGTTCATCCTGCCAAGCCTGGCAGGATCATGGTAGAGGAAGAGAACTGACTTCTGAAAGTTGTCCTCTGACCTCCACATGTGCTCCATTACAGCACGTGCGCACTTCCCTTTCTTTTAAAATTCCAAGAAAGATAATTCTAATGATAAGCTTCACAGACTGTACTGTATTTGTTAAATTCATACCTGAAACAAAGATCAGAAAAGCGTCCAGGGAATGGAGAGTTTCAAAGAACAAATACTGTCTTTCAACAGGCAACAACAATGTCATAAAAAAAGTTAGTTAAAAACTTTAGCAGTGGCAATATAGTATTATTCAGACACAGTGTAAAATGTTTATAGGGGTAGACCGCATTTTCCACTACCTTTGTCAAGCAGATTTAGACAAAATACTTAAAATTACAATTGTGAAACATGCTAAGAGACTGTTTTCTACTCCAGCCTTGAAACTGAGATCCTTCTTTTGCCTCAGTCTGACCAGTGCTGAGGTTATGGACATATGCCATCATACCCAGTACCACTGCATTTTCCTAAACATTCCTTCTACCTTTAAGAAAGCCACAAATTGCTCAGCAGTGGTGGTGAATGCTTTTAATCCCTGTGCTCCAGAGGTAGAAGCAAGTAGGTGTCTGAGTTTGAGGCCAGCCTATTAGTTGTACAGAGTGAGTTAGTTCCAGGATGGCCAGAGCTACACAGAGAAACCCTATCCCAAACTGAGCCCCCATTAAAAAAAAGAGAAAACCACAAACTAGCTGGATGTGATGACACACCTATAGTCCAACACTTGGGATAAGAAATAAGCCAGGTTAAAGAGTTTAAGACTAACTTGGGCTACACAGTCTTGTCTAAAGAAGGAGGGAAAAAAAATTAGCAAATTAGCAAAAATCAGTTTCAAGTTTAGCCTTTTAATTTACTCTAGAATTCAGGAAAGAATCATTCATAGTAAAATTGTTCTAAAAAAATCTATGAACTTGAACAACTTAGATTCACCTTTGGAAGTTGTTTTTTCCTGATGTTATCGACCACAAGAAATGTCAACTCATAGAACTAAGCTGTTTGCAATTGAACTATTTACAGATTGGTAGCTAGTGCTATTTCTACTGACTTTTCTTTTTCGTGCTTTTAGGTTCTATCATATTAAGTAATACTGTATTTATATCAGTAACTCTTCAAGAAAAATCCCTAGTTATTTCTGATTTCAAATATCCATTTTCTCATCAAACCTTATTGTCCTGTTATCACTTCATCTAAATCTGCTGCTTCTTTCCATTCTTCAGCTACACTCTTATGGCTGGCCTGAGACTTCTCCTCCAGGACTACTGTACTCTCCATTCTTGTGAGATGGCTCCTCTAAATTGCCTTTAACTCCACTGCCAACCTTATCGTCTTTCCTTCCTTGACATTATGCCACCTACCTCTTCCACCTGGGCTTTTCACGGCCTTTATGCTGCATTTTTATTCTGTTCAAGAGCCTCAACTTCAATCACATATTTATTTATAAGGTTGCTGCCACTGACTTTCAACTCCCCTTTAAAATGTCAGTTTCTTCTTGACCCTGTTAAATGTACTAAGTTTTTCCTTCAGGTAATCACATTTTCTGCTAATCAATTTGAACACAGAATCCCTTTAGCATTTATGACCCAAATTCATAGGTGATACATTTAGATGACTTTTATACAGTACTGATGTATCCTTTCAACTCTTCGCTTATAAATGGTGTTCCTATCAGAGCATAGTTAGGCGGCACTCTGCAACATATATGCACCATCACTTGGCCAAATTAAGATAATTAAATAAAAATACGGGGTAAGAGTAAATAAAACATGCTCTCTAAAAATAAACCCTACAGTTTAACTTTTAAACATCTAGGGCCTTTCAATTTCTACAGAGAGTTGACATATTTTGGTTTCTATAAAATTTCACTTTCATTCAACTTAATTTTCAAAGCACAGCAAACGTTAAAAGTCGATGGATGATAAAGAGTGCACTTTTCCATCACAGTGTCAGATTCTTTAAAACTCAACAAGATCAACTCTAAGAATTGTGAGCTACAACTGAGTTTCATACAAGGAAACAGTTGCAGCAGGAAAAAAAAAAAGCACAATATCTGAATATTCAGATGGGGGAGCATGTCCTTCCCTGCAACTGATTTAGATTAGTTTCTTTACTCCAGAGGCTTTGACTCGGGAAATTCAATACACTGTTCTTAACATCTACAAAGATACCATGGAAAGGCTATCCGGCTACTAAAAGGGAACCGGAGCAGTGGGCATCCTCTTTTCATAAAAGTCGGCAGTTATATTAAGCACTGTAGCCGTTATCTGCTGGCACAATCAAAGCGTTGTTTCTACCTAATAATAAAATCAAGTTTCATTCCATTTAGTTCCTTCCCGAGCATCATCTCAACCTGTCAGAATTCGACGAGAGGGGGGAAAAATGAAGTAGGGAAGACACTAGGATTCCCATCTACATTTCTTTTTCCGAAATCACATCACTAAGTCTTGGATTTCCTTTACTCCAAACTAAGCCTCAGACTCCAAATATAATTCTTTAACCCCCGCTTCTCCATTCAATTACACTTAAACCATGCCAACTACAGAACCAAAGCAGAAACCCCTACAAATAGGCTTGCTATTCATCTTGGAAGGCATGCCCTGCAGCAACTGCCTATCTATCTCCAAACTCGGGGATATTACCCAAATACAACGCAATGGAATCAGACATGCAAAGCACACACGACTTAAGTGAGGGAGGGAAACAGGAAAAGTGCACTCTTCAGGACCATCCACCAGGGCGTGGGGGTGGTGGGAGGGGGCATCCCAAAAGGGAGGTGGAAAAGGGGAATCCTTCCTTCTCGAGAAAAAAAAAAAGGGCTGGATTTCCCGGCCAGGGGAAGCAGCCGGTCCTCGCTAGGGAGAAGAGGCAGAGAGAGGGAGGGCCCTCTGCTAGAAAAAGCAGAAGGAAGACACTTTCCAGGGTCCCGGACTAAAGCCTGTCACCAGGCTCCCGGGGGAGGTGAGGAGCGTCCCACCGGCAGCTCAGGGGCCACCCGGCCTGCTAAGGGACAGCAGAGGCGGAGCAAGAGTTTCCCCTGCCGAACCCCGAGTCGTGTCGGGCATCTGCCGTGGGGCCGCTGGGTGGGGGGAGGGGAGCAAAGGGGGTGGAGATGGGATTCCCCCCTCTCGGAAGAGCTTTAGTGGAGGAGGCGCCCGGCCAACCCCGAGCAGCATGCTTCAGACTGCGGAGCCGGGATCCCGCCGCCCGCACCGGCAGCGCGGAGCCCCGCAGCGCCCGCCGCACCGGCCCCTCGGTCCCCGGGGGCCAGAGACTTTGGCTGCCAGGGCTCTGGGGCCTGACACCCCTGGGGCCTGCCCCAGCTCCCCCCGGGGACACACGGAGACACCCGAATGGCCAGCAGCTCTCCGCGGTTGTAAAAGACACCCCCCGGTTCCCCTCCTCAGCCCGTCCCCTGCCTGAGGCCGCAGAGAAGGACCAGCACGGGTGAGAAGCCTCCGGCAAGTCGCGGACAGTGGCTGCGGCTGCCCCCGGGACCTGCAACCCCGCTTACCCGTGAGGACTCCGACGCGGATTTGATGGTCGTGGTTTGTGAGGATCATTCCCTCGGTCGCCATGTTTCCCAGCGCAGTCACCGCACTGACAGGAGCCGGGAGAAGCCGGAGCCCGGAGCGCGCCGGCCGGGAGCGCGCTTGCCTCGGAGAGCGCGAGAGCGGAGCGCGAGGCGAGCGGGAAGGAGGGAGGGGGCCGAGCGCCCGGTGGCCTGCGGTGCTGGGGGGGGGGGGGTTAGGCGGGCGGAGGGGAGGGGAGGGGAGAGGCCGCTCCAGGAGTGCGCGGGTCCGCGGAGGGGGCGGAGCCGGGCCGCGCGACCCCGAGTCCGGAGGGGGAAGGCGCGAGGCTGGGGTGGGCGAAGCGGCGGCCTCGCTGAGAGAGCGCGCGGAGGCGGCGGGGCAAGGCCGGCGAGGCTCGGAGGCTGTGCGGAGTGAGACCCGAGACGCCTGGGCGGCCAGAGACTGACGGGGAGAGGGAGCACACGCTCTGGAGGTTGCGGGGGCGGGCTCGGGGACAGGGGCGGAGCTACACCCCGAGGCGTGCAACTCGTGGAGAGTGAGGGGAGGAGGAGTGACGGAGCTCGGCTGGGGACTGCCAGCCGGGAGCGGGAAGAAGCCGGCCCTGCCAGAGTGGGACCGAGCAGCGCTCTTGGGCGCGCGAGTAGCGCGGGATTGGCTGGGCGGACGCGGTGCGGGGACGCGCGAGGCACGAACGCGGCCTCGGCGGGCCCCAGACAGAAGCAATCCCCCGCCGAGCCTGCCGCCTCGTCCGTCATCCGCCGCCTCGCCTCGGGCCGGCTCTGCTCGCCCGCCCGCCCCGGGAGCCTCTCCGGACCAGGTGCGATGGCGAGGTGGGCTCAGCTCCTTGGAAGGCGCGGGTGAACCTAGAGGTGGCCTAGGAAGCTACGTGGGTGGCAGAACGGTGGCCGCAGTGACAAGTGTCTCTCCCGAGGGCAGAGGCGGGTTACCCGGCGCCGCCTCAGCCGGGACCCGCAGTCGGCTCTCCCTGACAGGATTTCGGTCTCACTTCGCCTTAGTCCCTTTTCAGAGACCGCCTACCAGACCTCGCACAGGAAGCCTGGCGCCTGCAGCAAGGGCATGCGGAGTGTAGATAGTTGCTATCTCCCTCCGCTGTCCCCTGGTTGTGGCCCTGAGCATCCTAGCCCCGACCTATGCTTTTGGGTGAAATGCATCCATCTAATATAGCATGAGGGCATGTGTCACACACTTTGAAACCACAATCAGTTGCCATGGCATTTAAGTTTCATTTCAATATTTGTGGAATATGAAATTACCATGAAAACATGGTCATTTAGTTCCGTGTCCTTTTCATAAAGTGTTGTTAATCACCTCTAACGATTTTATGTAGGTTTGCCCTTTGATGGCTCTTTAATTTTTTTTAAAAGCATGTTTCTGTGTTTCCTCATTTGCCCACCATAGTAAAATCTAGAAGCATTAAAAGAAAAAATTTCAAAAATGTTTAATAATCCACACTCAGACACAAAATCTCAGAGTTGGATTGATGGTTCTTTGGGCTTTGTATTGTTCCGGTTGGAACATGTTATTACTCATCCTATTCACTGAAGATTCACATTGTGTCTTTAAATAATAGAGTACAAAAGAAATGGAATTGAGGAAGGATAAAATAATGAAATTTTTGAAGATATGTATAGCTAGCATTTCTGACAGTGGATTAAGTTTTTAAGCCATGTTATAACTCACCTCCCATAATTATTACCAGAGACCCTGGCAACAAAAGAATTCCTAATGGGTTTCAAAAGAGAGAGATAGATGAGAAAGTATGCCCAAATGAATCATTCAAACCAAAAGTGAAATAAAGTAGTTGATTACATCATAAGCCTTCGAGCCCATTTTATTCTCTGTGGCACATGCAAATTCTGTATGACTTGAAAAATTTAATATTTAGGAGTAACTTCTAAATGTACCCACTAACAGGCTTCTTCAAACTTTAAAGAAAGTAATGAGTACCCCCCTCCAACTTAGAATGTATTGTAGTTATTCATGGGAAAGTTAACTAGTACTTTCACAAATCAACAAGGGACATTCTGTATCTATGGCAGTAGCAGTGGGGAATTACAGCACAGTACTGTGGCTTGAAGGTGGAGCCACCATACTAAGCAAGCGTTCTACCACCGAACTGTGTCTCTAATGTGTCTCTAATTCATTCAAGTGTGTCTGAGTTTGGTGAATATGAAGTAAGTCTTCATATTACATGGACTGTTACATTTTTACTAAATATTAGTGCTCAAACTGCTGGAAAATAATGAAATTAGGTAATTATAGTAGATGGCTTTTCCAATTATTTTGTTCAATATGTACATTCCTCTCCCAAATTCCATAAGCTTTGACCATTAGAATTTACACAGGAAAAACTTTACTAGCTCCCTAGCTCCCACAATTTTGCTTTCCTGTGGTTTCAGTTCTCCACATATCTAGGGTCCAAAATGATTAAATAGAAAACTCAAGTTAAAGAGTATATATGATAATATCTCATTGTATACATGTATCCTATTCTGTATAAGGAAAGTTAAACAAAATGCCTCAAAATACATCATTCAGAAGCTTAAAATGCATACCATTCTTTGTATAATACAGTCACATGTAATTCCATGTGGTCCTGCCTGTTCTGTGAATCTTCCCCTGTCCATCCTACCTAAACAAGCCCATCCCTTAATCACTCAGCATTCATCTTGGTCATTGGAGCGGCTGTCCCAGTACCAAGAGCTTAGTGGTCATTGAAATATGCCAAAGAGAAGCTGTAAAGTGTGTACAGTAAAAACTAATAAGGAAAATCTATGTAGGATTTAATACTGTGAAATTTCAGGTATACACTGGGAGTCTTGGAATGATAAGTGGGGTTGCTGTATATAGTCTGTAGATTTTCACTACTATCACAATATAGATGCATCTCAAAATTCACTCTGAAGTTAAGTATCAAGGATTTTTGTCTTTCTGGATAAGAGAAGAAAAGTAGCAATTTCAAATATTATTAATTTATCTCAGGAAACTCATAGGACTGGGTTGAAGGGGAATGGATGTGAAGCTAGTTCCTTAATAACTTGGTTAGGTGGACTCTTCTTCCAGACCCCCTAAATTAGCTACTTTACTCATTGTAGGAGCAAAATAACAGACAAAAGCAACTTAAAGAAGTGTTTATTTGGGCTCATAGTTTGAGGGTAGCAATCCATCATGGCAAGGAAGTAACAGTGTTGGGAGCTTGTGGCAGCAGTTTACATTGCATCCTCAGTCAAGAAACAGTGATAAATGGCGGTACTAAGCTAGTTTTCTCCTTTTTCAGTCCAGGACCCTACCCCAGCAAATGGTGCTACCAAGTGACATGGGTCTTCCCTCCTCAGTTACCCTAATTAGAGAAACCTGCCTTAGGGCTTTGCTTCCATACTAATTCTCAATCTCATTAACTTGACAATTAAGATCAATCATCATGTCCTCCAACTCTCTCTACTATATGGTAAAGAGTTCATTCTTTCTTGAGTGTCCCAATACATACCACCACCCATGTAATCTCTTGATAGTCAATAGGTAGAGAAGTTCTCAGGTCTGTAATGAAAACTCACAAATGTAGAAAGTCTTGACTTATTTGTATAGTTGCTTATTTGATATAAAGGAAATCAGAAACCACCACAGAAAGAGTTCCTGATTTGTAAAATATTGATTTTTCTCCTTAATGATACACATTTAAAAAGAAGAAATTGCCATTTCCAAAGGAAGTGGAAATTTTGTTTAAAAACTAGTATTAAGTTATTTGATGTTGATTTAAAAACATGGACACAATTATTGGTTATATATAATCTACTATGATAATGAATTGTATAATGATAGAATAATTAGCATATCTATTACTTCAAAAATCTACCATTTCTTTGTGCTAAGCATTCTAATTCTACTTTTCCAACTATTTTTAAGTATACATTATTGTTAGCTACAGTCACTATAGTGACAATTGTTAGCAACAGTGATGTACAATTGAAGGACAAACCTTTTGCCTATCCAGTTATAACTGTGCATCTGTTTGCTCAACTCCCCTCATCTCCTCCATTTCCCCTTACTAGTGTGTGTTAGCCATTGTTCTAACTTATGTGAGAACGTGTTTAGATTCTGCATATGAGCGAGATGATAAGGAGTTTGTCTTTCTGTATCTAACATTTCATTTTATATAGTGCCTTCCAGGTTCAGCATGGTAACTCAAATGCAGGATTTTCTTTTTATCACTAAATATTTTATTGTGCTTGTATTTCACATCTTCGTCCATTCATCTGTTGTTGGACACCTAGCTTTTTCTCTCCTTGGCTATCGTGATTAGTTATGGAATGAGCATATAAGTTCAAATTCTTATCAACATACTGATTTCATGTCCTCTTTTTTAAATCTTCCTGGTTTTAACATTTATTCTCCCACACACCGTGGTGTATGTGTGTGTTTGTGTGTGTGTGTGTGTGTGTGTGTGTGTATGTTTATGTGTTGGGAAGAAGGCAGGGAGGGAGGGAGGGGCTGAGAGGGCAGCTGGTGGGAATTCTTCCACTTTATGCATTCCCAAGATCAAACTCGAGTCATCGATCGAGCACTCTGACCTGATAAGCCATCTCAACAGCTCTGATCTTCCTATTTTTTAAGGAACACTATAGTTTCTCCAGTAGCAGATCTAGTAGTTTTCATTCCTACTAATACTATCTTTTTTAGCACGAGTTCTAATAGGTTTTAATATAAAAACTCGAGTCACCTATGAGGGAGAAAGCTGAAATATCAGAGAAGCAAAGGAGCCAGCCACTAGCTCTTACCTCTACTTCAGACCAAAGGGGTGATGCCTGACCTCAGACTGCTCGGACTGCCATGAACTCCTGTCTCCTCCCACCTTATAATCCTCTCTCTGCCCAGCCATGTCACTCCTGTCTTCATCTCCTCAGTGCTGGGATTCAAGGCATGCCACTCCAAGAGCTAGGATCACCTTTGTATGAGCTCTGTTTCTCTTTTAGACTAGATGAATTTCGTGTTGCTCAGGGTAGCCTTGAATTAACAGAGATCCATCCACCTCTGTCTCCCAAGTACTGGGATTAGAGGTGTATACCGCCACTGCCTGGTATCTGGCTAACTAGTGTGGCTGCTGGGATTAAAGGTATATGTCACCACTCCCAGCCTCTGTGCTAACTAGTATGGCTAGGTTTGTGTTCTGATCTTCAGACAAGCTTTGTT